TTTGTAAAATCTTTTGAAAATCTGCATGTTAACTTGCAGCAGTTGCAAACCCACAGGGCTCAAACACATAATTAGCTACTGTGTCTTTAGGAGCAGCAGGATTATGTGAGTCTAATCATTGCATTTTATCTGAATGGAAGACCAAATTACACATCCCAGCCCACGGAAATCCACAAAGTCAACAGCAGAAAACCTCACGTTCAGTAAAAACCACCTATTGTCAAGTGTAACAAAATAGGAGAAAAGTATACATTAGGGCTGGATTTCTGACTATGAAATATCATCTGAAGCCGACTTCTTATAATGCAGTTTTGCCTGCAGGATGCAGACTGCATCAAGAGTGCAGTGAATTGGAACCTGCCTCACTCATGCTCTCTGAATAAATTCAAACTATTGCCAGAACTCTGTGTGCAGCACAGCAAACTACTGCTACACAAGAATGTCAAAGCCAGGCATTATAATCTTTTGCTGCCTGAAAGTAATATATCATCCCAAATACAATTAACACAGCACAGGCTTATTACCAACAAAAGCAAAACACAACTTAGATATTTTTATTCCTAGCACATTGAGCGTTCACACAAAGAAAGAACAAAAGTTCTGATTGAAATTTGGCTTAATCACTTCAGTGAAAATTTGTTTGCAGAACTTGAGAAATCCTTAAATCCTCGTTGCAGATGTTGGCTTGTAGGACCAGAAATCTAAATCCATAATAATACGTTTCCCTGAAGCTCTATGGTTTAAGTGCCACAGCACTGAAGCAGAAATTTACAAAGTCAAATTCTGGTCCTATTGAAGTTGGTAAAGGCTTTGCCATTCATTTCCATAGGGCCAGCATCACTCTCACTCTAAGAAATAATAACCAGAATCACCTTTTAATATCTATTTTTTTACTGCAATATACTGTCAGATATTGTATGTGCACTGCATTAAATGTAATAGGCAAACTTTGATATCAGGAGCCATTTGTGCTTTGAAACAAACAGAGAAAGTAGTGAGAGGAAATGCTAGTGGCCTTCTAAATTTCCCAAGCGAATCAAACTTTAAACCATGCCTTTCTTAAGAACAGTAATTACATTCTTACCCTAAAAAATGTCACTGTCCTTAATAAGCCTGCAGAGATGTCATCAAAGGGTCACTGACAGAATCTTCCAGGATGGGGAAATCTACTGCTTAATCACTGCAAGTTGTGGGGACTCTGATCCTAACCACACAAGAGTGGAACGATCTGGAGTGGCATTTACAGGCCAAAGTAAATTGGAACGGATTTGTTTTCTCCAATGATTTACTTAATTACCTTTCAAATTAAGCTAGCTATTCAAGTAATTCTAGAAACAATCTCAAGGTCTGAATACTCCATGGCAAAACAGATGTGAGCTCTGAGAGAGAACTGTTTCAGTGCCAGGCTTACAGGAGAACTGCAGCGGCAGCCGGGTGTCTATCTCCCTACTGACAGAGCACGTTATATCAACTAACTTGAATTTTGCAGCTGCGCTCCACTGGGGGTTTAGGACCCATCAAGCAGATTTGGTATCACAGACATTAAAGGGCAGAAATCAAAAGTGTTGGCAGAGCAACAGGCTCTCGATTCTGCCTCTCAGACCTGGGAGAAATGGAAGGAAGGTTCAACGCCAACTGGAGACTCTAATGGGCTTCAGCAGAGCTCATGCTGACGTACCCTTTTCACAGAAGCATGGCAACTTGTTCCTGGTACCCGCTGCACAGACCTCTCAGCTCTGAACGTGCTCCCCAAACCAATCCAAAACAGCCCAACTTAGAGGCAGCTGCAAAGATGTAGCTTCTGAGTGCTGGAGCATTTGGGGACAGCAGAGGGCCCAGGTGCGAATATATACTACTGGGAATGCATATCTTGTTACGTTGCCAGATGTCAGTTTCTGCAATGCTAAATGACTGCTGCTTAACTTTTAGGAAGCCATTGTTCTCAGCAAGAAAAAATAAAATTAACAAGTTAACATCTCAAGAAATAAATGGTGACGAGCCCTGCCTACAAGGGATGTTGGCTGCCGAGGCCTGGCAGAGCTGGGAGACAACGCTGCTCAGTTCAAGAATTCTTTACTCACTGTCAGTTACATAATTCTCGTTGCTTAAAAATGACATTACAGATTCCCCTGGCAATAGCAGAAAAATAATTTCTCTAGACTCCCAGAGTGAAACCCCTGTTTCTTGTATGGACTCAGCTGATCCAAATACTACTTTATTTTCCTCCCTCCTCCTTAAAAAAGAAAAGAAAAATCAAACTCCAACTGTAAATATGCAGACATGCAAGCCTTCCAAGGCAAGGAAAGAAAATAAAGTTGAAGAGATCATGAGAAATTCAGTCTTACAGGTACCAAGCATTACCAGAGGATGACACAGTGCATGTGAGCTTTGCTCCCCTACCTTGCACCTTCAGAAGCCTTGGCTGAGTCCTACTATGTAAAAGTGGCATGGGCAGCCCTAGCAAATGCCATTTTCTAGAAAATCCAAGGAACTCAGGGTACAGCTCCTCTAGTGCAAGTGAGAACATGCAGATAACACACAAAAAATGTGTTACATTTCAGCATATGCACCCAGGAGAGATGCTGGGTTATGTGGCACTGCACACAGCAGAAAGCATGTGGACAGAGGATCCCAGAGACATCGGGTGGGAGGGATCTCTGGAGATCCATAGTCCCACCTCCTACTCAGAGCAGGACCATCACCAATACCAGAACCATACAGTCCCTGGGACTCTTAACTGGATGATTCCTGTTCTTTTGTATATGGCTGTTAACAGCTTATTAAGTGCCTGGGAGTGTCTGTGTGGCAAACATTCAGAGAGGAGAACAAAACCTATCATCTCCAGGCCTTGCCTTCTACCTTGGACAAGTGAGCAAGCGACATGAGTGAACTGTCCCATAACACTAAGGAGGAAATTGGTCCCCCTCTCTCAGCTCCTAATCATCAGTGAAAAGGGAATTGTGGTCCAAAGAAAATGAAGTTACCAGTCCTCAGGAGAAGGTGAAAGGGCACCTCCCTGGCTGGGGCCCTGCTGATGGCACCCCTCAGGCTGTGCAGAAGTCCTTTCTTCTGCACTCACAAAAGAATCCAAGCAAGTCATTTAAAAGTGCCTGGGGGCAGAGCTTGTCACTAGATCAGGTTTGCCCTGTTAAAATAATAAATGAGGTAATGCTTAAAACTGCCTTCGATTTGAGGACATTCATAAAACAGAAATGCCAACAGCTTTGCTACCAAATAAACTTCATAGATGGTTTAAAAAAGTCCCCGCACCTCTCCTTGCAATAGAGCAGAGCCAAGCAGTAGGGATTCCACAGCACAAGGCGCACTCTGTTTCCAAGGACAGCTCTGCAAGTTGAAATGAGAGCTGACAACTTCCAGGTCATTAATCTGACAGCGTAAACAGAACCTATGTACCAGTACATGCATTCAGGTGGACTAAAGCAATGGCTGGAAGTGAAGAACTAGACAAATACCATTCTGCTTTTTGTTCTGAGTTTCCAGAAAAACTTTTATAATCAATTCTTCACTCTCTTCTACTCATCCTCAGGATATGTGGAGCCTGGTGCTGGCTATATTTGTGTTGCTAGCTGAAAGAACAGCAGAACATGCCAAGTGTTTAATAACAAAATTCCAGCCTTGTGACACAACCCAGTAATCCCAAGACTGGAAACTAACCTCATATTTCTACTCAGCATAAAACCCTAATCCTAACAAGAGCACCGCTATTTTTATTTGCCTGAACCTTTTCTAAAGACATGTATCTCACAAATTAAGAAAGTTACCTTAGACCAGGTTGAACAGGGCTGTGTTACCTATGTACATATGGCATCTACAGATTGGTAGAATTAAGACAACACAGAAACTGCTAAAACTAGTTATGCTCATCTGTGTGCTCTTACACAGGATTGGTTGTAGCTGGATGAGCTGTTGCAGTGGCAACTACTGGTCCCCCACCACCTTGGGACCCCTCTCAGGATACTCCTGTGATGAGGAAACAAATGGAGAGTTGCAGGGTCCTAGGAAAACCATGGCTGAGAGCAAGCATGCATATAAAAATTCTAATCGAATATCACAACTACAAAATAGCAAGGCAGGAGGCTTAGCAAGCCAAGACCCCACGTTCACGCCAGGGACAAATATGCATTATAGACATGTCTAAGGACTCATCAAGACCTCTGCAAAAGGGAGGGAATAAACTCTATCAACCCCTAGTTGGTGTTTCAACCACTGTTTGCCTTGATCATGTCCATCACCAGAACCCAAGCAGCTTCTCACTACTGCAGCTGTCCCGCCTTCGACACCACTCAGGCTTGCAGTACAAAAAATGCCATCAAACACCTGGAATTCCATTTTAAAACAGCTTTTACTGTCACTAACTGCGCTGCAGATGTGAGGATGTGCCTGACAAAGCTGCAGCACAAGCCTATGCTGTATCCCAGCTCAGACAGCAGAATTGCTCATGTCTTGACTTACAAGTCACAAAACAGCAGAAAAATTGTGCCACTGCACGCAGTCCTGTAGAGCTGCAATACGTGACACATAAAACTGCAAATGCAAGTGTTTTAGGGGAAGACAGAAATAATATCATGTTAAGCTAGCAGAAATAATTTGTGCACAGGGTACATTTATTCCTATACCCAGAAACACAAAAGGTTTATACACCTATTAAATAAATATCCAGTTAAGTATTCCGATCATTGGACTGCTACCACATGTGTTAACCACAGGGTTCGTGCAATTTTGTGCTGTCTTGCCCTGGCACTACAATTTTTTCTGCAAAGCTCTCTTTCCATTCCTAACTGTGATGCACATATTTTGCAAAGATCACGATCTGGCCATATTACTGTAAAGGATATACAGAAGCATCACTTATGAAGAAACAAATTTAGCTTCAACCTTGACTAGGTCATCTTTTTGTATTACAAGGAAAGACACTCAGTGTTAGAAACAGTCTTATGGATACACATAAAAGGCCAGTACTGAACAACTGCTACACTTACTCTGCGAAATGACACCACGTAGAATGTATCTTCCCTTCTGCGAATAGCTTCAAAAAAATCTTGATAGCTCCTTGGAGAGGCGTAATACACTTGCAGCTCATTCCCTGAGTTCCTGCTGAAATAAAGAAGGGGGGAAGGTAATTATTTTAGACAAGAAAGTTAACTTCAGTGAGACAGTGACTTTAAAGACCTGTTTTTCAAAAGAACAGCAGCTCTTCATCCATTGAGAGAAGCATGAGGAACATTAAACACAAGTGAAGACAGTGAAACTACTGGGTATATTTTGAAAGTTCAAGGTGCTTTAAAGGTCTTGCTGCAAGAAACTTTTCCAGGCTTGATTTTATTCATGCTTTTGAAGCTGGCAAAAACCCGCTTGCTAGCTCAAAAAAAAAAAAAAAAAAAAAAGGTTCAAGTCAACCTACAGTGTCTGAAAAATCGTGATGACTTCTGAAAGTAGATTTTAGCAAATTTTAAAATGAAATGTCATTCTGAAATAAAAAATCAAAACATTTAATATAAAAATTTTTTTTTTTTTCTTTTACCGCTAAGGATCCAAACCACTCAAATTGAAAGACATGCAAAGTTAAGCATAAGCAGAGCTTTTAATTTACTGTCAAGTGACAACCCCACCTTCTCTCTCACCTACCTTTTTTTTTTTCTTTGCAACTCTAGTCAACGCAAAGATTTGCTCTTGATTTTCAATATAGACAGTGGAGCAAAAATAAGATATTCACATAATTCTGGCTTATCTTTTTCAAAATTCTCGTCTTACACATATCAGAGATGAGGAAAAGAGACTGTCTAAACTATTCTAAGCAAAAACACTGGCAAGTCATACAATCATGGTACTTATCCACTGTTTATCTTGGAAAGGTGAGAAATTCCCAGCACATATTGCTATCGTGTATACTTCCCCCATCCCATTCAAAGATAACATATTTAATCAAACTGGAAAGCTGTACTTACACAAACCATTAGCTAGACCTTCAACCAGTCATTTTAATTCTTTCCCACCTTAATAGCATACTGTCTCTTCGCAGTATTAGTGGCAGAAACACTGATCAGGCTATCCCTCCCAAGCTGTCTTCTGCTGACCCAGATTTTAAACTATGGTGGCTGACAGATTATTTTGGTACGTTTCTAAAATATTCATAACTATGCACCCAAACCAAGGCACAAATCTATCATCAAGTGATTTTCTTGAGCAGCAGTAATAGTAGACCGTCATTATCTCCTCTCCTACTGCTAATACAGTCCTGTTGCAATTGAAGGACTGCAGCTGCCAAGCCAGTTGCCCTGTAACAGGACTGGGGGTGTAAGTCCTGGGGGATCAAGAGCAGGCAGCTCTACCCTATGTATCCTCTTTAGCAGAACTATGCAAGTGAGGAATCAGATCACATCCTTCACACACAGGAAACAAAGATCAGAGCTAATCTGAGCTTGATTACTCATTCATAAAAACACGTAGGCGCACCAAACCACCCCTGAGATTCAGCATTGAAGCTTTACTGTGATAAAAGGCATCACGCCCACGCATTGCTCAGTAAAACACATCCTGAAAACTGAATCAGGTCCCACAGATCCGTTTGCTCGCCTACACTCCAGAAGATACAGCTAGACCTAAAAACCAGCCTTTTATAACTCTAAATCCAGCCATGGGAGAAAGTTGTTCCAAAGCACTTGGAAACCACTAGGCCTTTACAAAGCCCTCTTGGGTCCATGGAACAAGTCTAACACTAGTCCCAAATTCCAAGTAATACCAGTGGATTACTGGTATTACACCATACTTACCTTTGGGCATTTAAGGGTACCCACTGTGGACTGCTCCATGAAAGAAAGGGAGGAACTTAAGAACTGAAAACAGGTGCAAAGCTACCAGGTGTTTTAGTAATACCTTACCATATTACAAGAAAGCATCATACTAAATTATGTATCCAAAACAGTGGTGCTGAGTCTGGCCTTTTATTGGGAGATAAATGAGTCTTTTTTGTTTTAAAAGTTCGAAGGGCACTCTGTTATGCATCACAGAGCACTAGGATGTTGCACATATGCTTGTTTTAAGAAGGAACGAGGTTGTGGACACAGTGCTTTATGCACCAAGAACCACAATTTTAATAGTGAAAAATTTAGAAACAGGAGAATAATTGGAGAGTCCCAGTTTGATATCTGCAACCCTAAAAACACACTTGCAGAAACCCTCATCAAAATTACCTCTGAAGAAAGCCAAATAGACTACAGAAAGCTGAGGGGTTTTAATGGTTTTCTTTGAAATCATCTGAATTTTTATCTTCCTCCTCTGCTTTGACTTCACTACAACACTTTTCAATTAATCAATTCTCTTTTGGAATCCAGGACCAACGTGACAATGTTGGTATCATCAGTGCTACAAAGATAAATCTAGATCCTGCTAATGTCCTCCTCTTCATGGATTCAGGTCACCAACAAGGGTGTTGTAGAAGGTAAAGGTCACTCAACTTCCAGCCACAGCGTTGGTATTAAAAATTAAAAGCCTTGACTGTACACTCCACAAAAAGGCACTTGTATCATTAATAAAAACTTCAGGGCCATCTACAAACATTTATGTTACATATCAGGAAACCTACAAGTGGTTTAGTTTTTGGTTTTACACATTTGCAGAGACGCTGCTAGTGCATTAACAGTTCTCCAAAGGCAATGCCTCAGGGGTAGCATCAATGACAGAACTGAATGAACAACACCTTTCCCATCTTCTCAATCGATGATGCACAAGCATTGCAGAGAAGGACACAGATCGCTGGCAGGCAAGATGAACGTGAGCCAGCAGGGCGTCTGGGGGCAACTGCATACTGGGCTGGCATTATGGTCAAGGCCTGGAGTGTAGGATGTACAAGGAGAGACAGGAGACAAAGGGAACTGGGCTCGTTCAGCCTGAAGAAGAGGCTGAGGGGGCTCTAATGGCAATCCTCAGCTTCTTAATGGGGGTTACAATGGAGATGGAAACAGTCTCTTCTGACAGAGACACACAGTAAACCTGAAGTTAAACCTACTTTGAGTAGGAGGTTGGACTGGAGATCTCCAGAGGTCCTTTACAACCTAAACTACCCTTTGACTCTATGATTTCATGCAGCATCTAATAGCCGATGGCTCTGGGAGGAACTGGAAGTCTGTTCTATGTTCTCAGCAGTTCCAGGACAGTCATAGCACACAGCTGCCATGACTCACTGGTCCTGTTCATTTAAACATCATTCATCCAAAAAAAAAAATCTCACTTCCTTCTGAGCACAGCAGATTATTCCATACAGAGCTGCATGATGTTCCAGACTGTTTCTAATAATCCAGACAATTTTTTTTTAAGAGTAATGCAAGCATGTATGTTAAACTGCCTTATGCCATGAGGCTTGTTCGTCCAGTCTTCAGTTAAAACATACATCCTTCATCTGCCTGTAGAACTAAAAAAGCTGCTTCTTTTTTTCTTATTAGTCAAGACATATCAAAGTTTGGCAGTCTGGTTTCCATAACATTTGCCTGCAGCTTGCTATTTTCTCCCAGGCTGATCCTGCTTTCAAAGCCGCAATGCAAACAGAAGGGCCACAGCTGTCTTACTTTCAATGGCAACATTTCAGGTGTTCTTCTCAACAAGAAGTCCCCTTTATACTCCATTCTGCTCTTATACTCCTCTTTGGCACTTCAAAGCAGAGATCCTTCTAAACATTGTCACAGAGAATTCAGGAGAGAAAATTTTCATTTCCTTACCCTTTTCTCTCCAGTTCTTCCCGTACCCAGGGAAGAGGGTCAGGATAGGTAGGCGGGAGGGAGGGCAGGGGCAATCAGGAAACTCCATGTTATTGTGTTCTAATAATCAGCAGGGAAAATCAGGAGAGGAAGACATACCGTACAAATAAGATGTAATGATACTTCAACTTTGTCAAAATAATTTGGTGCCAGCTATAATGGCGCTACTCTTGAAGACAGCGACAGAAACCTTTCTCTTACTGGACTCACGGCCGTTTGAAACCTTCTTATAAACTAATCATGTTCCTCCAGATAATCCCAAGACAATTCCCCCTTTTTTTTCCCCCTTAAGATTCAAATCTGTTTAGGAAGACACCCTGCAGAGTGAAGTAAAGATTTTCTTAAGACTCATTAGTAGAAATATCCCAGAAGAATGGTGCTGTGATACAGGGGTTTCTTTAAGTGTAGTTTGAGTCATTAGAAGCAGTTATTTGCTAAGGGACAGAAATTAGGCCAATAAATGTAGCTAGCACCTGGCTTAAGAATCGTGACAAGGTGAAAACTGGCATTTTTTACCAGCTGTTGGTGAAAAACTAGGTTATCAAGTAGAAAGCAATAACAAAGCAGTTCTTCTGCCTTACCTGAGGCTGGTGTCTGTGTAAGGCATGGCCATTAGCTGGGAATCTGCCTTCTCACTGAGGGAGCTCTGAAAAAGGGGGAAAACAAAAAGATGACACAAACTGAAAACAATAAGCATTTTCTTGGTTTGGCACTACATAAAACATGAATCACATCTGTAGCAGAGTGAATATATAATGGGGTGCAGAGGTTAATCAGTGCCCCGAACAATAAATGTGAATAAGCGAAATAACAACCAGCAATCAAGCTGGAGCCAAAGAAAAAGCAAGTCTTTTAATACAGCCAAATTTAAAGTCACACATTCAGAGACAAAGAAGTGAAGCTGGCACCAAACACAACAGTTGCACATACTGCGTCATCCATGTGCAAAATTTGCTTTCACTGATGTCAGATTTGCAGAATACTTCTGAGGTCACATCCACTTTGTACCTCTGCCAAAATATACTATCCACAACACACTTCTGCAGTCTGAAACACTAGAAGCACCCGAACTCGCCCTACTTAAATGTTCTACCATTCTCCTTTGGACAACGGTGAGAAGAATCTGAAGTTTAATATTCAATAATTTTTCTCTAGAAAAATGTGGTATTTCCCACATTGTTAAGTTCAATTCCTTTTAAGGCTGTTGCCAGCTCTTAATCAAGTGAAACACTTTGAAAATTCATGGTCTTAATTTCATCCTCACTATCTGTATGCCATGTAGATGAAAGGGATTTTACAAAATGGGAAATATGAGCACAAATCTCATAATTCTGTAGTCTTACAAAAAACACATCCCTCTAGCAAAAATCTGAAAAAATGAAATAGAAATATTTCAACAAAACCAGTCAGCTGTGCCCCTTAACCATAAGCCAGATGAATGTGCTGCAGGTTATATTTCTCTCCATTAACCAACTTTTTATCCTTATCCTTGCACAGACTTACAGAGAAGTTATAAAAGTCATTTTAGAAAACACTAAACATATTTTGATGACTGCTAAAAAAATTAAAGACTTTTAGTCTGAATCCAAGAGCAAGAACGGAAGAACTTTGTCAACATAATAATCAACCAAACCCAGCAATTTAAAATGGGAAGTGTTGGGTACCCTAATTACAGGGACCATTGCTACTTTTGTCTATAATGACAAGTGCAGACAAGTAAGAGAGAATATTTTGTTATGTTGTCTGAAATTATCTTGTCATGCTATTGACTCACCAGTATAAACCTACCTACCTGCATAACCCGTGCTTTCTGCTGCTGGTTATTTGACAGCCTTCTAGATCTCGTTCGTTCCACTTCATGTCTATGAACCCATCCTCGAAGTTCGTGATTCAGCCTAGAAAAACCCACAGCGTTAACAGATGTTTCAAAGAACAGTGGCAGAATTTTTTAATTTTAGAAAACATTTTAACTAGCCACTATAAAGACACTGTAGATTACTACTCTCTTACGTTATGAACACTTGTTTTTAATACCAGAGTAAGAAAACATAATTGCAAGATTGAATTTATGAGGGAATTCATAAGGAAATATCTATAAAGTATTGGGATCATGGAAGTTTCAACATAAAGCAGATACAGTACTTTCTTTTGCCTAGTGAACAGTAATTCTGAAATTACTGGAAGGGCTACTGAAATTTAAAATCAAAAGTTGATCAGTTCAAGACAAAATATTGGTTAAGAAGGCTAAAATACGGCAAATAAATTTGAGAGAAAGAATGGACAGAGCAGAATGGAGATAAGGTTAGTGATGCGCTCATATCTTTGGAAAAAGTGGAGCTAGGTGTTTTCTAACAGTGTGAGTTAACTGAGTGAAAATCATTACTAGAAACATAAAAAGGTGACAAAGATTCAAGCTGATCTCCTGTCTCCATGGTAGTAGATACTGGACAGTGCAGACATTTACAGAGGCACTGGTCACATACTGGATGAACACTGTGAATGGACAATAACATCATTCACAGCTGTCTGTCCAGTAGCACTCACCCAACACACAATTTATACCTAAACTCCTAATAAAAGCTTAAATGCTCAGAAAAGGTTGTTTGCTCACCTCAGCGACTCTGTCCGGTTGATCAGGGGCTGACAGGGAGGTGGTGGTGGTGAAATATATAACAGCGGTTCTTCCGAGACTATCATCAGTGCTTTGTTATCAGATACAGAATGATCATACCTGGGAAAAAAAGATAAAGACATCAAGAAATCCCTTAAAGTAGTTTTTCATGAACCTTTGACCAAATCCAGAGAATAAGCACTACCATCGGCAAAACCACAAAGGTTACAGCTGCTCCTATGGGACTTTTGAAACAGGTGAATAACAATTTCTATCAAACATCCAATGGTCTCAGTCAATTCCCCAAAGGGGTCTGATAGCACTTAACACAGGGTAGACAGATGAGCATTAGCAGATGTTGGATCTCCTCCCAAACAGGCCAGATATTGAAAGAAAATGAAGCCTGTAAAATATTCCTCATAATATGTGAACTATGAGATCTCTGCAGAGGCAACTTTCTCTTTCATTCCAGAGCTGTGCAAGATTTGCTACAGAAATACTAAATTTATTAGCCACTAAAACCATGCAGATGTAAAGACCGTGAGCTATACGACAATGGAGCAGCCACAAACTACATTACAACTGAGTGGAGAGGATTTACATCTCCAACAGCCTCCAGAAGCTAGCTTGGCTTTGATAAAAAGTGAAAAAGAACATGTATTTCAATACAAAAATCCACAGCACTCTCAGCAACAAAGCAAAGACTAATATTCCTTTCTCCTGGTTATCTGTACCTCCTGAGGGGTTAACTACTTATCACCAAATACCTATTATAAGTTCCTCTCTTGATAGGGTATCAATATAACAGCCTTAGTCCTCTTGGTTTTGACAGAGACTTGTAGCTCCTAAACCTCAACTTCTTTCTGAAAAATCAAGTATAAGAGCTTATGAAAGCCTTATTCACATTCCCCTCCCTTTCCCAGCTTTCTCTCCATCTTCATGTCTGCTTCTCCTGTTTACTGCATCTAGAACTGATAAAGGAGAATACGCAGCAAAGAGCTCACAGCTTGCCAAAAAGCAGGGTGAAAGAGTGAAAGAAAAGTAGGAGGTACAGGCGCTAGCATATCCTCCTAAGAGAACCACTCTACTACTACGTCGCATAAGTCTGAAATGTGCCACATAGGACACAAAGTCCTCACCATGGCTACAGCCTTAAAATGTTCTTGATTTATTGCCTTCTTTCTGCATGGCAAAATACATTAGGGCTTTCTGCACATCTGTGCCTGGCTTTGTTCAACCAGCCAAAACACTCTACTGGAAAGGGACAATCTGATAGGATAATTCTTGTAAGGGGAAAACATGAGCTGGATTAGCCAGACTTCAATCTGGAGACAATTATATGTTCACTTACGCACTGAATGCTAGAGATCCAGGAAGCTTAAAAGCAACTATATAATTAAATAATGGGTAAGCATGAGGATGGACTCAGAGATTTCTAAAAAAGTACAGTGCTAAGTTCAGAGTATGTTCTTAATCGTGAACTTCCCCGGTCTTCTCTTGAGTAACTAAGAAAATAAATACTCCAGCTTGAAAAGTAAGAAGAGATAGATAATATGACAAATACCATAACTATGCAAGCTAAAATAAAGATCAGGGAAAAAAGCAGATAGATGAAGAACTGAAGGAGGTCATGAAAATATCCACGACATACACTTGCTTATATGCTCTCTTCCACCACATTGTCCCTAACACCATACAGCATAGCCACGTGTACACTTCTGAAGCCCTCACGTGTACACTTCTGAAGCTCTATGTATTGGGTAATCTTGGAGATAAAACATCATATTCATTTGAAAAGCAACCTGGTAAACTTTGTTAAATAATAAAAAAATAAAAGAGATCAGCTTTCAAAACACTGTGTTTGTAAACTCAGTTGCTCTCTAACAGCAGCAGTAACACTGGCGAAAAAGGTTAGTAAATGGAAGGGCAGTGAGGTCTAAAAGCACCATTGCCCTCTGCCACTTAAAATATGTTAAAGGTTTTCATCTCACCTATTACTCTTCTCGGGAATGATGTCCCCAGGTATTTTCTGAGCTGTGCTGGACTCCTGGCTAGCTGAGAACTCCAGAAGATTTCTGGTCCGGTGGCTGGAACTCGCAGTGGAATCAACTCCATTGGGATCCTTTTCCAATACACTGGAAAACATAACAACCATAGCAAAACATATCACATATATAAAGGGTCTGCAAGACACTTTACTGTAAGGTGTTAAATACTCAGGTGGATAAGTTTCTGGCTGCTGCTATGTTACATGGATAAGGTTCATATCATATCTAACATAAAAACACGATGTCTTGTGTCGTTATATTACTGTCATTCAAAGCATTAGTAGAGAGAAAAGTAATTCTGTTCTCTTCTTCAGTTTTAATTGTTCAAAGGATTTTGATGCTCTGTTTTTCATGTTCTGCCATAACCTTCACCTGATGAAACTGAGATCAATCTGTTTGTAACCTAGATCTGCAGGCATAAGAAAATTACCTATATTCAAATCAAAGTACCCCTGAACTTTAACTTTCATCAGCCTCAAAGTACAATTGACATAGTTTATATGAATGCAATATGTAAGGAAAATATAGCTATCAAATTCCATGCAGCTGCAAGCCTGGACTATTATGCCAGACATCTAATAAAACTGTACACAAACTTATATATGTTCAATTCTACTTGGATTTAGAAACATTGGCAGGGCTGACAACCCTATCTACATAGCAGCAGCAAGCCATGGTCCCAGATACCCTGTCATCCTGCTCTGTGCTTGCACTGATTGAAGGATCTTCCCCTGGGGGCTGCTCAGCCAGCCAGCCAGCCAGCCATGCAGCATAGGAACATCTGTGCTGCTCTCCATGCAAAGCAAGGTAGCAGCATTTCACAAGTGAGCTGGAAAAATGACCAGACAACTGCTATATGAGATCAACTGCATCCTGGTTCAGAAGGGTGATTTACAAGTGAGAAAGCCTGAAAGCACAAAAGCAATACTTCAAGATATCCCCTCCAGAGGCTAGCTTTACTCTTTCATAAATATGGTTGCTTCCCGAAATATGTGTATTTACAAAATCAAGTCCTAACCTTCTTAGCTGACAACAGCAGAGCATCACCAGCAGCAACACAGCGAAAATACAAAAATGCAAGACCCCAGCATGCCAATGAGATCTTTGCCATGCATGTTGAGCGCTGACTACAGAGTACATTTTAATTCGTGCCCCACCTCTCCTGTGTAGCAGAGCATAAACTCTGCAGGGGAAGATCTCATTTTCCTATATGTTACATGGCATCACTTTGCAACAGGCAACGAATACAAATGGTAATAACAGAGAAAGGCAAGAAATAGCGAGGAGGGCCGATTAAATACTCCACAACTAAGCAGAAGGCACACAGACATAGTTGCCTAGCAATCCCCACTCTTTTGCCAACACATTTGCGCTCCTGTTAGCAGTAACCCAGGTCTCCCCGTGAGTAATTGTGTCACATTCTGCAGAACCGCCGGAGCCAAGGCAATCCCAGATCCAGGCTGACGTTGCTTGGACTGCCTCCTCTCCTTCAGGTTTCCAGGCAGCAGCACAGAATCAGGGCAGCAGAAATGCTACAGGCTCTGTTTTCACTAGTGACAGTGGGCAGAAAAGTACTTACGATTTCCTTACTGTATATGTACACTAGCATCCCAATGTCTCATTGCTTCCACTGCATAGCGTGCAAAGCTGAATGGGTTATTATTATTACATGTATATATAATAAAAAAACATGTAATAATATGGGTTGCCTCATGTATCAGGCAACACCAGGCCATCCAATTTTACAGAAATAATCTCCACTATCTACTATATTTTTGGAGATCATGTTTCTTCTCTTCCAATGCAAGCATCAGCACAGCTAGCAGCATCTCAAGCTCAGAATCAGAGCTCAAAACTAAGGGTGATGCTTAAAGGGATGCCACATGTTCCTGCTGGAAGTCACTCATCTGTGAAATGTCTCTACCTAATTTGGAGCCATGACAGCTAAAAGTATATGGAAGTTTATTCATGAAATATTTAGTTTATGAAGTTTATTCATGAAACCAAGAATATCCATCAGAAGATCTGAAAGTTATAACTCTGCTGCAAACCGTTTCTCCACAGCCTGAAGTGTATCAGCCATCCAGTGTGTTGATGGACCTACTGGGTCTGGCATTTTATCCTATCCTGCTTCTCTCCTTTCCTGTTCAAAATGACACGTTGAACCAGAGAAACTTTCCATGTAATTATTTAGTTAAAGCTGACAAAAACCTAATCAGTAGAATTGTAACAAATCTGCATTTTTCTGTGCTGGTTCTTCCTTCCTATTTGCCTCATTCTGCAAAGGCGATTCTTGTTATTTCAAGTTCCAGCTTGGCAAGGTGACTAGTTTGAGGTGAAGTGCCACATGCAACACATTGCTACTCCAGTTCACCCTGAACTCTGAACAAAAGTAGAGAAATCCAAACCAAGTCCCTCAAGGACAAAGATAAACACCACTCTGCAATCACAGCTAATCTTCAGTTTTTGTAATTTAGTTGTTTTAGCTGTACAGCCATTCAAAACCACACACACCTCATTTTATTATATCAGCTTTAATAGAGAAGAAATGTTTATTTTTACTCTTCTCATGCTTAAAACACCTTAATCTTTTCATCAAAATTAAATTTCATTTTTGGCAGCAGCTAAATATGGGATGTTTCAACCTGAAAGAAGATATCTTCAGCAGCAAAAGACAAAGAAGGAGGCGAACAGAGTACATTTTGCCATCCTTACAGGCATAAACCATGGCTCCCACTTCTGAGAACATGGGCACCAACTTGAGGAGAAAAAATAGTATTATTTATGGTATTTATTCCAATGCCCTTTCCTTTATCAGGATTGTTATTTTTCCACAAAATGCTTCTTCTGAAGCAGGGCTAGCAGCAATTTCTGCCTTAAGCTACATGGGCTGTATTTGCCTCCCCTTTCCTATTCATGTCTTTAAGACCTTGAAGATGATCAAAAGCTTCCTTCTCAAAGTCTCAAATATGTCTAAAAAAAAAAAACCCTCCTTCCTTGCCCCTTTGGTTTGTGGCAATGACCCAAAACCAAAAGAACTTTCATTTTGGATAAGGAAAAACCCTGCAACTTATATATATTATATATATATATGGAAATACTGCCCTGCTTCCACCTTCTAGTTACTCGGGGAGTTTTGTTAGTTTTTTCCCCATCTGAACAGAAGATGATGTTGTTCTGTTGTATCATTTCTTCCCCTTCCTTTCTCCCAAGAGAGGTCACTTGTGGAGTTTGTCTGTAAATAGGGCTCCATCTTCAGGTAAGAGATAGGAGAGGACATGTAGGTAACGGTCTATATCCTCTGACTTCTCACTCTCAAAGACCTTTCCTTGCCAAGTGAGTACATGAGGGTATGACACAGGATATCAGAAATATTCCTCCTTTGACATCTCAAATTGACACGGTGGGAAAAACATGACTTAGGACCAAGGAATCCCTTTAGCAGCTGGGATGAAGGACAGACCTCTCCTGCAGAGCTACATCTGGAAACACCTGCCCACCTGAGGCATACTGAGCTTTACAAGTGCTAAGCAGAACAGCAACAATACAAGCTGGAACAGGAATGGTCTACAGAGCAGATCCCAACACCATGATACTGAAGATGAAGTCAATATTGAACATTTAAAAACATCAGGTAGAAGAGGCTAGAAACAGTGAAAAAGAAAGGTAGATAATCCCATTAAGAGGGAAAAAAGCTTTGAAAAACAGTTTTCAGCTAAGATATCAATAGTTGCTTAAAAAAAATGTTTTAATATGACAGATGGTAAAAGCATGGACAATTTTTTCATTCTGTTGGGCTACAAGATGAGAATTTGGAAAAGAAAGAGCACTTTGGTATATCTGCCCTGAGCAAGTCCTACTATTTGCAGGAATTGAGTTACTGCCCCACATTAAAAGTCAAGAAAGACTGAAGCTGAGAAATGGCTTTACTGGACAAGACCAGTTAGAAGCTGGAAACTGGAACCTTTTCTGCTTGGTCACACTTACACACCTGGGGGTGCCTACCAAGGCTTTGCAGCCTGCATTTGGACATCCCAGATACGGTGAGCATTAAAGGGTTTTCACACAGCCACAAACACCCTGTCCAAGCTGGCTGAGCTATCAGCTTGTTTAAGATGCAAAACCAGATCCAAGGGAAAAAAACAACCACTAAATACTTCATGCAGATGTTTGTTCAGAAGTGTAGATAAATTTGATTACAGGAGGGAAAGAAAAGCAATGCTCCTGTCATGGTTTCTCCAGGCATTCAATGGCACCTGATATTTTAGATATATTTTTACTTCTTTGGTTTGAATGTCAGTTTGATAAATGTAAAAGCAAGTCTTGCCAAGAGCCCAAACTAAATTTCATTTGTACTTCTGGCTGAACAAACCCTGTGCGCTTCAAGCTTTGAATACTGACATTTAAGTTGTACAGTAATTTGTAGACGAAAGCCAATAGTGATATCATAACAAAGAGTTTTCCGGGGACAGAACCATCTCTGAATATGAGCTGGGATGTTTCCAGTGGGCTAAAGTTGACATTGCAAGGAGACACCAACCGAGGACCTTGTCCTCTTCCTAACTGATTCCAGACAAGGCTGCCACAGTGCCAAATGCTCTCTGGAAAGTATTTCTCGTTTCTTATTCCCGACGAGGGCACCATCTGCCGACAGCAAGGCACTACCTCCTCCTGCCAGGCTGCTCCAGAGCTACCTTCTGCGAGTGCTGGGCTGGTGAGAGGAGCCTGGTCTCTCTCCTCTGCTGGGAAGGATGAGGAAAGCAACCCAAACTGGAGGGACGATCTCTGTGTTTTTCTTGTGTTTTGCTTTCTTTAAAAAGCAATTTATTTTTAATAAAGCTGTTAGAAAAGAAAGGAAGAAAGCAAGTATAGACACCCAGAGCATTTATTTTTGCTTTGAAAACTATATGCAGTTATTTGGAAGTGGGCTGGCCTTTATTGCCAAAGCGTGGGCAGGCCTGATGCAAGCAGTCTCAACTGCAATGTTCATTCAGGGCAAAAACTTTCTGTATTTCACTCCCAGCCCAGCAGATGAACGCATGGAGAAAAGGCTAAGTTATCAACAAGTGCATCTGGCATTCTGTGCA